TGTTTTCCTCCTGATGTGGCTGTATAACAGTTTCGGGTCAGATTTGGCTTTCACTGCTATGTCGTTTTCATATTGTCTTTGGGCCTCCCTTCTTATCTGTGCATATTCATTTCTGGCTCTATGACTGCTCTCCTTATTCTCCTGGGTCCTTTGCCTTCTATATTTCTTCCATTCCTTAGCACACTTGGTTTTTGCCTCCCTGCACCTTTGAGTGAACCATGGGCTCATCCTGGCTTTTTCATTATTCCTGTTACTCTTGGGTACAAACCTCTCCTCAGCCTCCTTGCATATTGTTGCTAAATATTCAATCACCTCATTAACTGGCTTCCCTGCCAGTTCTCTTTCCCACTGAACCCCATTCAGGAAATTCCTCATTCTCGTGTAATCCCCTTTCTTGTAGTTTGGCTTCATTCGTCCTGGCCTTCCTGCTTCTCCCTCCACTTGTAGCTCTACTGTGTATTCGAAGCTTAAAACCACAGGATCGCTGGCCCCAAGGGGACTTTCATATGTGATGTCCTCGATATCTGCACTACTCAAGGTGAATACTAAGTCCAGCCTTGCTGGTTCATCCTCTCCTCTCTCTCTTGTAGTGTCCCTTACGTGTTGGTACATGAAGTTTTCCAGTACCACCTCCATCATCTTAGCCCTCCATGTATCTTAGCCCCCATGCGGCTTCAAGTTCTCCCAATCGATCTCCTTGTGGTTAAAGTCACCCATGATCAGGAGCTTTGCCCTGCATGCATGAGCTCTTCTGGCCACTGCAGCCAGTGTATCAACCATCGCTCTATTGCTCTCGTCGTACTCTTGCCTTGGCCTCCTACTGTTCTGTGGTGGGTTATACATCACTGCTATTACCACCTTGGGACCTCCAGAGTGAAGCGTTCCCGCTATGCAATCACTTTCTTCTCCGTTGTCTCCTCTCTCCAGCTCATCAAAATTCCATCGGTTTTTGATCAGCAATGCCACTCCTCCACCCTCCCTGTTTCCTCTGTCTTTCCTCAGGATCTGGTATCCCGTTGGAAAGATGGCATCTGTTATCATACCTGTAAGATTGGTTTCTGTGTGTATGTATATGTATATGTGCATGTATATGTGTGCATCTGTACGGAAATATCCATAGATGTATGTATAAATGCATATATGTGTGTGCGAGGGCATGTTTGAACAGGAGAATATAGTGGGTGACAGGGTGTAGCATATTAGTCATGAGATGCTTACCAAATATACATTAAGGTGCGGAGTATCATTTGTTCATAATATTTATCCATTGTGAAAATTGGACTAAATATAAGCTGATTTTCAGAAAATTTTTTTTGGATTTAGTGTACAATTATTACAAATGTCTGTAACGTGACTATTGGCATAATATATATTGCAAGTGTAATGCCTGTTGAGGTGTACGTGTTTTAGCTGTATTTAGTAGTTAACATTATTGTGTCATGTAGGTTCTGAATTTAGGTGTTTTATTCTACATTGTCTGTGTAAAAAGGTGCCACTTGTTTTAGATCGTTGAATTAGCGTCTATTACTTTTAGGTTTCTGGGAGATAACAGGAGCAGCACATTTCACCCAGCAGGGTGGTCGGTGTGTGCACCGAATTATCTAGATTCCATACGAAGAATGTCTAAATTGGATGAAATGATCGTCAGTAGCGAGTTGTGAATGGTGTTGTGTAGGATGTAATGGCAACGAGTCAGTACACATTATCCTTGTAATCAAAAGTGTAAAATTGAGTATATTGTTTAATATTCTTTGTATAAGGGGACAATGTCATATTCGTGAGGTGTGTGTTGTGTGTCGTGTATATATTAAAGGTCAGAAGAACGGGGTTTATTTGTATAATCTGGTAATAGTGAAAGTTTACTTTTTGAGGGGTACTGTAATTTTGTTTTGTATTATTCTTATAATTACTCACAGGTGTGGGTGAGTATCGGTTGTGTAAGTTATAGACAGTGTTGCTGTATAATCCTACGGGTTTAGTGCTTCCCCCTTGATTATAATAATAATAATATAGACAGTGTTGTACTGTCATGATGTCTCATTGTAACACAGTAGATTGTTTGTAAAAACAGTAGATTGTGTGTAACCCCAGTAGTTTTGGTGTGTAACACAGAAAGAATGTGTGTAACACAGTAGATTGTGTGTAACACAGTAGATTGTGTGTAACACAGTAGATTGTTTGTAACACAGTAGATTGTGTGTAACACAGTAGATTGTGTGTAACACAGTAGATTGTGTGTAACACAGTAGATTGTATGTAACACAGTAGATTGTGTGAAACCCACAGTAATTGTTGTAACACAGTAGATTGTGTGTAACACAGTAGATTGTGTGTAACACAGTAGTTTGTGGGGTAACACAGTAGATTGTGTGTAACACAGTAGATTGTGTGTAACACAGTAGATTGTGTGTAACACAGTAGATTGTTGTAACACAGTAGATTGTGTGGTAACACAGTAGATTGTGTGTAAACACAGTAGATTGTGTGTAACACAGTAGATTGTGTGTAACACAGTAGATTGTGTGTAACACAGTAGATTGTGTGTAACACAGTAGATTGTGTGTAACACAGTAGATTGTGTGTAACACAGTAGATTGTGTGTAACACAGTAGATTGTGTGTAACACAGTAGATTGTGTGTAACACAGTAGATTGTGTGTAACACAGTAGATTGTGTGTAACACAGTAGATTGTGTGTAACACAGTAGATTGTGTGTAACACAGTAGATTGTGTGTAACAAAAGTAGATTGTGTGTAACACAGTAGATTGTGTGTAACACAGTAGATTGTGTGTAACACAGTAGATTGTGGTAACACATAATTGGTGTAACACAGTAGATTGTGTGTAACACAGTAGATTGTGGTAACACAGTAGATTGTGTGTAACACAGTAGATTGTGTGTAACACAGTAGTTTTGTGTGTACACAGTAGATTGTTGTAACACAGTAGATTGTGTGTAACACAGTAGATTGTGTGTAACACAGTAGATTGTGTGTAACACAGTAGATTGTGTGTAACACAGTAGATTGTGTGTAACACAGTAGATTGTGTGTAACACAGTAGATTGTGTGTAACACAGTAGATTGTGTGTAACACAGTAGATTGTGTGTAACACAGTAGATTGTGTGTAACACAGTAGATTGTGTGTAACACAGTAGATTGTGTGTAACACAGTAGATTGTGTACTGGAACCATTACCTTATAGTTCGTGTTTGTTTCTTTGTTATACATATACTTGTTTATGTACAATTCTGTATAAAGGATTAATAACATAAATAACAAAGTGAAAAATGAATGCACATTGTAGGTTTAGCGCTTCTCTTTGTTTAAAATAATAATAATAATAATGTATATTGTAAGTATTTCGGTTGATGTAATGTATAATGTTGTGTCATCTTGCTTAACATAGATGCAAAGTGATATAATGCGTAGGTGATGAGAGAGAGTTTGTGTCAGCACAAAGTTGAACGTGTGTGTTCAACAATGAACATTTATAATTCTGTGGAAGAACTGATACTGTGTTCTTTTATTTATTTAATGTATTGAATTGTTTTTAATAAAATATAAAAAAAAAATAATAACTAAAATAATTTGTGTCAAAATTTATATCACTGAAATGCAAGTTGAGATGACTCACTTTAACTTGTTATATTTCTTTAGAGAATCTAAGCTGTTATTTTCCCGAGTTAATATTATGTATTAGTGTACATGATGGATCACAATATCATGGTGAAGATGTACACTACTGTTAACATTGTTAGTGTACATGGTGGATCACAATATCATGGTGAAGATGTACACTACTGTTAACATTGTTAGTGTACATGTGGATCACAATATCATGGTGAAGATGTACACTACTGTTAACATTGTTAGTGTACATGGTGGATCACAATATCATGGTGAAGATGTACACTACTGTTAACATTGTTAGTGTACATGGTGGATCACAATATCATGGTGAAGATGTACACACTGTTAACTTGTTAGTGTACATGGGGGATCACAAAAACATGGTGAAGATGTACACTACTTTTTAACATTGTTAGTGTACATGGTGGATCACAATATCATGGTGAAGATGTACACTACTGTTAACTTTGGGTTAGTGTACATGATGGATCACAATATCATGGTGAAGATGTACACTACTGTTAACATTGTTAGTGTACATGATGGATCACAATATCATGGTGAAGATGTACACTACTGTTAACATTGTTAGTGTACATGGTGGATCCCCAATATCATGGTGAAGATGTACACTACTGTTAACATTGTTAGTGTACATGGTGGATCACAATACATGGTGAAGATGTACACTACTGTTAACATTTAGTGTACAGGGTGGATCACAATATCATGGTGAAGATGTACACTACTGTTAACATTGTTAGTGTACATGGTGGATCACAATATCATGGTGAAGATGTACACTACTGTTAACATTGTTAGTGTACATGGTGGATCACAATATCATGGTGAAGATGTACACTACGTTAACATTGTTTGTACTGATGGAATCACAATATCATGGTGAAGATGTACACTACGGGTTAAACATTGTTAGTGTACATGGTGGATCACAATATCATGGTGAAGATGTACACTACTGTTAACATTGTTAGTGTACATGGTGGATCACAATATCATGGTGAAGATGTACACTACTGTTAACATTGTTAGTGTACACGGTCACGCACTCTAACGAAAAATCAGAATTTCTTAATTAAATACACAACGTAAAACTGTCTATGTGACGGCAATAAACTGTCAAATATCACCTGAACTTTCAAGAGCAACTGTAACAGCCAATTTCTGCCCCTGCCAACCTTCCCCTTGTCTCTCTTGTCCGGAGCTCTGCCCCTGCCAACCTTCCCCTTGTCTCTCTTGTCCGGAGCTCTGCCCCTGCCAACCTTCCCCTTGTCTCACTTGTCCGGAGCTCTGCCCCTGCCAACCTTCCCCTTGTCTCACTTGTCCGGAGCTCTGTCCCTGTCAACCTTTCCCTTGTCTCACTTGTCTGGAGCTCTGCCCCTCCCAAACCCTTTCCCCCTTGGGTCTCACTTGTCCGGAGCTCTGCCCTCCCAAACCCTTTCCCCCTTCTCTCACCTTGCTGGAGCTCTGCCCCTTGTGTCACCTTGTTCTAGGCTATGTCCCTGCCCATTTTCCCATTTTCTCACCTTTGGGCCCGGAGCTCTGGAAAGACGAAGCCAAAGAGAAGCAATATAATCAGGCCCAGGACGGACTGTAGACGCTTAGGGTCGTGGCGTGTATCTAACGCCAGGAACACCACTAATATTGCCAGCAGCACCAGGTACAGCGCCATTCTCACCCACCTGCACGAGTACTAACACCCGTATAAAAAAAACCATCACCATATTATATAAAATATATTATTAGGTTACGTTAGGAAACAGGACAAGTGTTTCCTGAGTCGGATCTAAGTCAATGATGACCCGCCATCGGAGCTTATGTCGTCTGAACCGAGGCTTCCCCGGCTTAAAAGTTCCACCCCCCTAAAAATTAAAGGGTTTTAAAGCATCATAAAACACTACACTATTATTATTATAATTATTATTATTATTATTATTATTATTATTATTATATTCAACAGTGGTAATGCAAAACCTACGGAATCTGAGCTAATCAGATTTAAGTCCCAGAAGGGTAGCTCCAATGCTTTGGATTAAGAGCTCTTTACCTCCCTTGAAGAATAAGTTTTAGTAATAATTATAATATCAGATCAAAATTTGTTGGTTAATTGAGTTTCAAGACTATCCAGTGAGTTATACAAGGCCACGTGTTGCCTATTCTGCTCCTGACTAGAACACTTGTAATTCTTTAAAAAGAGATTTGACTCTCATTGTATCATATGCATGTATCATGCATGTATCATGCATGTATCATGCATGTATCATGCATATATCATGCATGTATCATGCATATATCATTATGTATCATGCATGTATCATGAATGTATCATGCATATATCATGAATGTATCATGCATATATCATGCATGTATCATGCATGTATCATGCATATATCATGCATGTATCATGCATGTATCATGCATATATCATGCATGTATCATGCATATATCATGCATGTATCATGCATGTATCATGCATGTATCATGAATGTATCATGCATATATCACGCATGTATCATGAATGTATCATGCATGTATCATCCATGTATCATGCATATATCATGAATGTATCATGCATGTATCATGAATGTATCATGCATATATCACGAATGTATCATGCATGTATCATCCATGTATCATGCATATATCATGCATGTATCATGCATGTATCATGAATGTATCATGCATGTATCATCCATGTATCATGTATATATGCATGTATCATGCATATATCATGGATGTATCATGCATGTATCATGAATGTATCATGCATGTATCATGCATGTATCATGCATATATCACGAATGTATCATGAATGTATCATGAATGTATCATGCATATATCATGAATGTATCATGCATGTATCATGCATGTATCATGAATGTATCATGCATATATCATGCATGTATCATGCATATATCATGCATGTATCATGCATATATCATGAATGTATCATGCATGTTTTCCATGCATGTATTATGAATGTATCATGCTGTATCATGCATGTATCATGCATGTATCATGAATGTTATTATGGGATATATCATGAATGTATCATGCATGCATCATGCATGTATCATGAATGTATCATGCCCTGTATCATGCAAAGTATCTGAATGTATCATCCTGTATCATGCATGTATCATGCCATATATCAAAGAAAGTATCATGCATGTATCATGCATATATCATGCATGTATCATGAATGTATCATGCATGTATCATGCATGTATCATGAATGTATCATGCATGTATCATGCATGTATCATGAATGTATCATGCATGTATCATGCATGTATCATGAATGTAACATGCAGTATCCATGCATGTATCATGCATATATCAAGAAAGTATCATGCATGTATCATGTATATATCATGCATGTATCATGAATGTATCATGCATGTATCATGTATGTATCATGAATGTATAATGCATGTATCATGCATGTATCATGAAAGTATCATGCATGTATCATCCATGTATCATGAATGTATCATGCATGTATCATGAATGTATCATGCATGTATCATGCATGTATCATGCATATATCATGAATGTATCATGAATGTATCATGAATGTATCATGCATATATCAAGAAAGTATCATGCATGTATCATCCATGTATCATCCATGTATCATGCATGTATCATGAATGTATCATGCATGTATCATTAATGTATCATGAATGTATCATGCAATTTTATCAAGAAGTATCATGCATGTATCATCCATGTATCATGCATGTATCATGCATGTATCATGAATGTATCATGCATGTATCATGCATGTATCATGAATGTATCATGCATGTATCATGAATGTATCATGAAAGTATCATGAATGTATCATGCATGTATCATGCATGTATCATGCATGTATCATGAAAGTATCATGCATGTATCATGCATGTATCATGCATGTATCATGAATGTATCATGCACATATACTGAAAGTATCATGCATGTATCATGCATGTATCATGCATGTATCATGCATGTATTATGCATGTATCATGCATGTATAATGAATGTATCATGCACATATATTGAAAGTATCATGCATGTATCATGCATGTATCATGTGTCATGCATGTATCATGCATGTATCATGAATGTATCGTGAATGTATCATGCATGTATCATGCGTGTATCATGCATGTATCATGAATGTATCATGCACATATATTGAAAGTATCATGCATGTATCATGCATATATCAAGAAAGTATCATGCATGTATCATGCATGTATCATGCGTGTATCATGCATGTATCATGCATGTATCAATCATGAATGTATCATCCATGTATCATCCATGTATCATGCATGTATCATGCATATATGCATGTATCATGCATATATCATGCATGTATCATGCATGTATCATACATGTATCAATCATGAATGTATCATCCATGTATCATCCATGTATCATCCATGTATCATCCATGTATCAAAGCATGTATCATGCATGTATCAATCATGAATGTATCATCCATGTATATATCATGCATGATATATGCATGATACAGGCATGATACATGCATATATCATGCATGTATCATGCATATATCATGCATGTATCATGTATATATCATGCATGATAATGCATGATACAGGCATGATACATGCATAAAATCATGCATGTATCATGCATATATCATGCATGTATCATGTATATATCATGCATGTATCATGCATGTATCACTGCTCGGATCAAATACTTTTAATAATAATAATAAATAATTATAAACTGACCTGTACATTTATATAACATATAACATTCACTCGTATAACCTCCAAACTATAACATACTCGCACAAACATATTTATTTCACTGAATTTTATCAACTAGAATATGCAGATTTATGCAAATAATCTGCCACACAGCCTTGCATGTGCTAGTCACGTTGCAAGAGTGCAAATATACGCTTAGTATTAAGAGTGAAAAATCTAGGAAGAGAAAATATAATTATCATGGTAAAAACCTCACCAGTAAAGCCATAGGCTCTCGTAGGTAGTGTAGATAGGCTTGAGTACCTTCTTGTAGATGGGACGACCGTAGTATGGTTTCAGTACCTGGTAGTAAGTGTTATTAATGTTACTTGTAAACATTGTCAGTGTAGAAGGTAAGTCAAACTTAAAATACTGACTAACAACAAGTGAAGAATATATTATGAACTATGTTGACAAGAGAATCATATGACCATTAGTGATATTGTTCAGGGTGAACAACCAGGTTATTGTTATACTCACCAGAAAATAGGTCATGCCAATAAAAACACAGAAGGTGATGATGATAAGGAATCCGTCAGCATTACACCAATAATTGTCATACTGAAATATAAAGTAATTTTTGTTTAATATATATATATAATATATATATATTATAATTTTTATATATAATATATATATATATATATATATATATATAAATATATATATATATATATATATATATGCGAACAATATTACAAAGGTAGCAACTTAATATTACAAAGGTAGCAACATTATAGTCTAATATTTTATATTATTTTCGTAATAGTCGCCCTTTCAAGACACAAGCAAAATATACAGAAAATTTTCCTGTAAACTAAACAAATCTCCCTTAATTTATTAATCAGATTCCAGAATTCATCTATTGTGAGTTATTAGAAAGTCAAAAATCTTTACAATCGTCTCAAACTTACAATAATAAACACTGTTATCTCACACTAATCTAATCTCTGGAGTTCGATAATGAGTATCTCAAAAAAAAAAAAAACTGTACTCGAGAAAAACTAGCCTCAGTTACCTCCATTTTAGATTTGATGGCCAGGACAGCATAGAAGTAAGCGAGGTAGCCAGCAGCCAGCAAGACTGTGACTGTCACCCGCCACCACACTCTCAGGTCATGACCCTGTAACATCTTCTGTATTACAAACTACATCAAACCAAGTTGATAAATTAGAAACATGTGCAACACTTGGGTATATTTATTGAGGAAAAGTTTCGCCACACAGTGGCTTCATCAGTCCATAAAGATTGATGGACTGACTACATCGACTCAAGGCTGAGGGACTGATTACCTCAAACTCCTCTTGTTCTTCACCATTCTCCTCTGAATGGACTGATGAAGCCACTGTGTGGCGAAACGTTTCCTCAATAAAGATACCCAAGAGTTGCACATGTGTCTAATTTATCATTATATAGTGGTATAAACCACAGTATATAGACTACATAATGAAGATGACGGTAGCATTACCTGTGTGCCACAGATAAATGGAATAATATAATGAAAGCATTTATGGACAGGTTATAAATATAAATGATTTTATAACCTAATCCTGCTTTTAAAAGTAAATTTATAAGGTGTTGTAAAGTGCTGCCAGTTAGTCTGGCAATAATGGCTGCGTCTCACCCACAACCTAAATATAATTAATGATATTTTTTAGGTAACCGTGAAGAGTTACCTTTATAAGCTTGCCTGATTTTTTTTCATTTTTTCTTTCTTCCACCAACTTTTCGACTGTATTTCACTCATAGCTCAAGAACGACTCATCCAATCGTCTTTAAATTTTCAGCATTTTTGTATGGTTAACGAGGACCAAAATCTTGGAAAAATTGTCCTGTTCACGTCCCTTATGACCAGGTGGTCAGCCCAGTCCAAACATCTTGGAATAATTTAGATAACTTCCAAAAATCTGCCAAATAGTTCAACAACGGCTCTAGTGGCCTGGTGGTTAACGCTCTCGCTTCACACGGTGAGGGCCTGGGTTCGATTCCCAGCCAGAGTAGAAACATTGGACGTGTTTCTTTCAACCTGTTGTCTATGTTCCCCATCAGTAAAATGGGTACCTGGGTGTTAGTCGACTGGTGTGGGTCGCATCCTGGGACACTGACCTAAGGAGGCCTGGTCACAGACCGGGCCGCGGGGGCGTTGACCCCCGGAACTCTCTCCAGATAAACGGCAGAGTGAAATTCACGTGCAGATTTGACAATTTTTTGAGTAAAATAAGTATGGAAATATTTATTTCCGTTAAATCACGTTAAATAATTAAGTTTACTTCTATAAAGGTTCAGTATTTAATGGGTGATACATCTTAGGGTCAGGGTACCTCCTGTTAAGCTTGTAGGAACGTTTGTTGTAGTAAAATATTAAAATATAAGTTGCAATCGACATTTACACTGTAGCAAGAGACGTCTTAGTGCCGGGTTGTGTCGCCAGCTAAGAAAACTGAAGACGAGCTAAAACTAAATACCAAAGTATATTTAACTAACTCGATCGGGGAGATCAATGCATAAACTAAGCTAAATTGTTTTTCATTACCTTAAACATGGCGTCTGTCTTAGCCTTCACTTGAGTGTAATTTGGTAAAAGTGTGAAGAGTCCGTAGTCATCATCATCAGAGTCTTCTGAGTCTGAGTCGACGGTGCTGCGGAGAGCAGCACCGTCGACGACATTGCTGTTGACGGTGTTGCTGAGAGAAGCTCTCGGTAGTGTGAAGCTGGTAGTGATGGCTGGCACGGTTGAGTACACACCAGCTGCTCTATGGTGTTCCTGTTCAGGAAGAACCTCTCGTCATCCTCATATATAGAAAAAATGCAGTATTGCTATTAATTATATACTAGGTAAAATACCCATGTTTGAGAAAGCCCAGTAATGTTGGAAACATGCAAGTGTCGGATAGAGAATTATCCGAGCAGTGCGATGTAACTCATGCTAGGTAGAAATATCATGTACTATTATTCTAGACTCTAGAGGAATGGTAAATGATTAGTAATTTTATGGTGTGTACCTGTTCCTGGCTGATACTGAACCTTCGCTTTATCAAGACTGATAATCCTGTGAGTCACTGTCACACGAGGAACTTGAGTAGTTCAAGATAGCTGCCATCTTTATCATAAAGTATTGGTTAGAGGCATGAAGACACTTACCCTCCGAACGGAACGAAAGTGACCTAGGCAACATTTATAGGTTTATAAAACATACATTTACTATGGGACAGATTCAGAAAACATTTTTTTTTATTATTATTATCACACTGGCCGATTCCCACCAAGGCAGGGTGGCCCGAAAAAGAAAAACTTTCACCATCATTCACTCCATCACTGTCTTGCCAGAAGGGTGCTTTACACTACAGTTTTTAAACTGCAACATTAACACCCCTCCTTCAGAGTGCAGGCACTGTACTTCCCATCTCCAGGACTCAAGTCCGGCCTGCCAGTTTCCCTGAACCCCTTCATAAATGTTACTTTGCTCACACTCCAACAGCACATCAAGTATTAAAAACCATTTGTCTCCATTCACTCCTATCAAATACGCTCATGCATGCCTGCTGGAAGTCCAAGCCCCTCGCACACAAAACCTCCTTTAACCCCCTCCCTCCAACCTTTCCTAGGCCGACCCCTACCCTGCCTTCCTTCCACTACAGACTGATACACTCTTGAAGTCATTCTGTTTCGCTCCATTCTCTCTACATGTCCGAACCACCTCAACAACCCTTCCTCAGCCCTCTGGACAACAGTTTTGGTAATCCCGCACCTCCTCCTAACTTCCAAACTACGAATTCTCTGCATTATATTCACACCACACATTGCCCTCAGACATGACATCTCCACTGCCTCCAACCTTCTCCTCGCTGCAACATTCATCACCCATGCTTCACACCCATATAAGAGCGTTGGTAAAACTATACTCTCATACATTCCCCTCTTTGCCTCCAAGGACAAAGTTCTTTGTCTCCACAGACTCCTAAGTGCACCACTCTTTCCCCTCATCAATTCTATGATTCACCTCATCTTTCATAGACCCATCCGCTGACACGTCCACTCCCAAATATCTGAATACATTCACCTCCTCCATACTCTCTCCCTCCAATCTGATATCCAATCTTTCATTGTGGAAATTTATTTGGTCCCTAAAGTTCCACAGGGCAGATACGACGTACGAAGGGGTCCCAGCATAGCCGTAATGGGACGGCTGAGCTGGGTGGCCCTTAAACCCTCCCAAACAAACAGCATTCTCTCTAGTTGGTGGGGATTGTTGGTAAGCTTATTTAATTTATAGATTTACTCTTCAGGGAAGGAGTAGGTAGTTTTACTGGTAGTACACTAATATTAGGATTATTGAGGCAACTGTAGATAATAATAATGTAGACCTAAGACCTTAACATAGGTAGTAATAGGCCGATAATGTAGGCAAACACTAGGATAAGTTAGCTAGGGAGAACTGGCACCCCTAGTTTGAACGAAGAGACGAGGATCTGGAAGAGAGACCAGCTCGTTCTTCTTAAGACAGACACCAACTGGACAAGACATGCCGTGATCAGCAGACGGCGCTTCCCACGTGTCTTCACATTTGAGACCTGAAGAAATCTGGTAGAGACACCTCGATGTACTGTAGATGACCTCCGTCAGGCCCATACAGTAAGACAAAACCTCCACTTAATCTGTAGATTTCTGGTCAGTGTCTGGGGAGAATTGTGAGTGAGTTTGATCTGTGGGCCCGGTGTGCAACAGGCAGTGCATGCCCAGTAAGTACCAGTGTCTCAAGGCAGTCTGGAAGCTAGTGTCTGTGTCTGCATAGTTATACTAGGGGATACATACCCTCTTGGATATAGGAATTTCTGAGGTGCAGGCAGGTCACTAATAACGATCGAATATTGCAGGAATTAAGGCTCCCGGTTGCACGTGGTTTTTGAGGGAAAGCCCAAAGGGGCTAAGGCTAAGCTTAGAGAAGTTGAAGATCAGGATATATGCTGCAACACCAAGTAAGTTAGTCCTTTATACGTGCATGCAGGCGAGTTTCTTGCAACACCAATCATTTGTGAAAATCTGTCCTATAAGCCACTTGTGAGGCTGAGGTACCCACCTCAGAGCTCGGTGTCAACAGAGTTAGCCAGGGTAGGTGACTCACTTGGAGGCAGTCCACACAAATTTTCACATTCATCACCTAATCTTTTTGTTATCCTCATAACCTTACTCTTTCCTGTATTCACTTTTAATTTTCTTCTTTTGCATACCCTACCAAATTTCTCCACCAATCTCTGAAACCCTTTCTCTTCAAATCTCCCAAACACAGTGGCCATCAAAAAGGGAGCAACTGTGCCCAACTCCCACTTTGTTGTGTTTTTTAAACTTTTAACCCACGCCTTTTTGCCAAGACCCTCGCTTTTATTTTCTTTTACTACCCCATCTAAAAATATTTTAAACAACACGGTGACATCACACATCCTGTCTAAGGCCTATTTTTTAACGGGGAAAAAATTTCCCTTTTTCCCCTACATACCCCAAACCTTGACCCCCTCACTATCCCGTAAAAACCTTAAACTGCTTTCAGTAACCTACCTTCAAACACCAAAAACCTGAACATCTGCCACTTTCCCCCCCCCTACCCAAACCCTGTCATACCCCTTTTTCCAAATCCATAAATGCCACAAAAGCCCTCTTTACCTTATCTAAAAAACGGGTTAAATATGTTTTCATTTAAAAACACCGGGTCCACACACCCCCGCTCCCCTTTCCTAAAGCCTCCTTGTTCATCTGCTACCTTTTCCCTCCTTTTTACTTTTAAAATTTTTTCAATAATAACTCAAACCATACACTTTGCCGGGAAATACCAACAGACTTACCCCCCTAAAATTTTTTCCACTCTCTTTTGCCCCCTTTTTTCCTTTTTATAAAAAGGGAAACTATGAAGCTCCTGCCAATCCCTAGGTCCCTTTTACCCTCTTCCACACTTTATTAAAAAAATGAAACCCAAACCACCCCAAAACTATATCCCCACCTCTTTTAACATTTCTACTTACCCCATCAACCCCTGCTGCCTTACCCCCTTTCTTTTTCCCTACCCCCCTCACGAATTTTCCCACACTCACAACTGGCTCTTCCTCACCCTACAAGATGTTTTTTCCCTCCTTGCCAATACACAAAAATTCACAGCTTCCCTATCTTCATAAACATTTAAAAACCCCTAAAAATTTTTCCCCCAAATTTTCCCCAATCCCTCTAACTCTCCTTTTAATAACTCTCCTCTCCTTTTTTTTAAACTGCCCAAATCCATTTTTTTCTCTAGGTTTTTCCTTAACTTTTTAATCCACTCCAAAAACTTTTTTCTTTTTTTCAACAAAATTTTTTGATAACATCTCCCCACTCTCTCATTGCTCTTTTTTTTACATTGCTTAAACCACTCCTTAAACCTCTCTCAGAAACATATTATCATTTTTAATCCAAATGGATAATCCAATATTATACACAAAAATTTTGTTTTTTTCATTTGGATTATTAAAAATAGTGGGGAAACGCAAAACCCGTAGGCTTATACACGCCTGTGGGGGGGGAAAAGAAGGTTTTTCGGCTTAATTCGGGGAAAAGAAGCACAGATCAAATTTCCCTAGATCAAGAGCCCCCCACCAGCACAAGTAACTTAAATTTATAAAAAAGCCCATTTAGACTTAAAAGACTCAAACCATTATCAGTACATTATGCATCATCCGGGTCCAAAAATTTCTGCCTGAACAACAGATAATGAAATCACACTAAAATTACCTCTCCACAGCTACAATAGTGCCCATAGGAATAAAAGGTGGATCAGACTACAACTATAAGTTTTTAATTCTAACACCCCTTTTTTAAAAATTTATTTCCCCCCCAAACACAAAACTTGATGTATTTCGGTTACTGCTCTTCTGAAAAAAAGTTTTTCCATATCCCTTTGAAACAATGACTCGCCCTACCTAAATCCCAAAATTAATAGTACAGAGGGGAGCAAAAAATTTGAAATTTGGCAGCAAACATCTGACATGAAAAATTCCCTAAGAATGATAGAATAGCATTTAGTTTAAATTATTTTTTAAACCCAAAAAAAGCGCAAAGGGCCAAAAGGGGCTATACAGCGCTGCAGGGTGGGGAAGGGAAGAAAGGGGAATTTGGGGAAGGCAGAAGGGGGGGGGGAAGATCAGCAGGTTACAAAAACAGCGGGGCAGGGGATGTCCCGGGGGAAAGGGTAGCAAGGGGTTTTGAAGTAAAAGGGCTAAAGGAAATCAAAATTTGTGAAGTAAGCCCAGTTGGGGTCAAAAAGTCAATGAGAGAGCCCCCGGATGAAAGATGGGTCCATCAGCGGGGAAAGGGAAGGTAAAGAGAGAGCAGCAGAGCGAAGACAAACAAAGGAGGAAAATTCTGCGTGCTCGTTATAAATTGGGCAGTCCAACAGAATTGGCCTGATAATGGAGTTTGGCAATTCTCACAGAGGGGACCCAAGAACCCCCTCTCCATAAATATCCATGAGTAAAAACAAATTGGGGGCCCAAATGCAAAGGGAGGGGAGGAGTAGTCCCCCCAAACCCCTCGCCACGGGTTTGATAAAAAAGGGGCCAGAACCCCTATATTCGGTTTAATAGTTTTGAATTTTTGTTGCCGAGAAATAGTAAACCAACGTTTTGCCAAGGGGGTTTTTGAATTTGGGAAAATATATTCAGTAAAATACCCTTAAAATTGGAATACCTCTATAAGAAACTGGTATCATGTACTGCTGACCGCGCAGCAGGGGCTCCCTTTTTTTCTTTGCCCTTTTACGTCAAAAAGCCCAGGGACCCAACAAAAAACAAAAACTTTATGTTTGGAAAAAGTTTGGGGCAACCAAATTTGGGGATACGGGGGACTAAGGGGAAAGGGTTTAAAAAAAAAAACCCAAAAAATTTTTTGTATAGCCTGTAAAGCACTAAGGATCTGAGACAACCCCCTTAAGACACAGGCATAAAAATGCAAAACGGATAATGCGTAAGGATGGCATAAAATTTTTCAAGTAAAAATACAAACCCCAAGTTTAGTAAATACCCTTGTACACGTTGCCCGGAAAACACGGCTGCGAATCCTACACCGTCAAAGATTTGAGAC